TGTGTCAGTGCGGCAACACGCAACGCCATTATCCGTCCTTGCGTAGGGCTCCGGCAGGCACGCAAGTACGTACGGAGTCGAGCCCACTTTTTTAAACATCCGTCGAACGAAACGGATTACGCAAGCTTGTGATTGGTCAGGATGCTGCTGTTGTTTACAGCGCTGCCATTGCAAAGAGAGCCGAGTTTAACTAGCGGCAGACACGGAGAAGCTTGAAGAATACCTCGCGAAAAAACTCTAAAAACATGAACGTTTAATTCTACCGTGACTGGAGGAGTGAAAAGATGTGCAGCAAGTGTTTTATTTGTGGACGGAAATGACAGGAAACGTGGGTTTAGAGGTGGCGAGCGCATGAAGCGGTGGGAGAATGAGAGACAAATATGTCCGTGTTAAAAAGTCTCTTATATACACAAAAAACACAATATAAACACACGATCTTGGACCGATACATGACAGGATACCACAGAACAGCGCTACGCCCTCTGTTGTCCTGTCAGGCAATTGCTTTGCAACGCTCTCCAGGAGACGGAGAAGTAAAAGAGCAAAACGCTTCCGTCAATCCGTGCGTGTCTGTCCCTTGCGGAGCTGACGGAGAAGCATAAACCAGGCTTAAACTGTAACTCAACCAGGGTGAGTAGAAGTCATGGAAACCAAAGAGCATGAGTACCAGAGAAGGTTAATGAGAAAAAGGTGAGCCGATGGTGGATATAAGATCAAAGAAGGTTGTTTGGTCCTGGTGTGGATCCAGTGGTCCAACCACCAAACACCAACTACCTTTTCTACCAAACATCTTGGTTACTTCACGCATTCATCACACAGATTACTGAAATCATCTGGTTCCTCACCGCAGAGGTTGTTCTAGTGAACCGTCTGTTCCTAGGGAAACGACGTCTTTTATCGAGGAAATGCATCCAGCACCTCAGAGACAAAGAACTTTTCACTACAATGTTCTATGATAGCAACTCTTAATGAAAGTGGTGCAGTTTAAAGTTGATTAATTATTAGCAGAGAAGAAGACATTTTAAATTTATATTCATTAGAACACAAGGCGAGACAAGGTCGGTACCCTGCAATATTCACTTAACTGAAGCATAATTACAGGCTGATTTGATAGATTGGCCTTTAGACAGAAATATTTTTACTTTTAGACAGTTTGGTTTGAACAAAAGTACAATGCGTCTCTTTGTCCTTGAGACAGGAAGGGAAAAAAAACCTGAACATCGACGGTCCATCCTGACCTGGAATCAGAACCACACTAAACCTACTTTGTCACGGTCATAAAATAAAAAAGCTTGCGGTCACATTATAGGTTTGACCATTTCCGCTTCGCATATGGTCCTGGATGAGTTGTGGTCCAACCTTCTGCACACTGTTACCCTTCTTAAGGGCTGAACTTTGACTAGACTGTTGATTATTTTCTAAGTTGTTCTGTTGTAGATCTGCTGCTGGGTTTGTGATAATTATCCCATTTTTATGACCCGGTTTGGTCAGAAGTTATCTCATTAGATTCTAGAGCAGTCTACAAAAGAGTTCTTGGTGGATTCCAGGTGCCCAAACCATCTGCCCTCCACCACCATGCTAACAGCAGATTGTGCTGATATGGTGTTTATGGTTTTCTCCAAATGTGCTACTTTGCGTTATTGGTAAACATCCATGACTGTTTATAAAATGTTTTTTGTTCCAGGCTGTAAACGTGTTTATTTCTGCTGTGAAGTTGGCATTTTTAGCAATGGGAACTTGCTCCTTTCTGGATCCAGCCCCTAGTGGGTGAAACGGGAACTGCAATTTTTCAGGTCATTTGGTAAATGACCTGTATTTGATACAGCATCTTCTAGGGTTCTACAACCCCCCAAAGCACTTTACAACACAACCAGTTATTAACACCCCCCCCCCCCCCCCCCAAACAGTGATAAATGATAAATGGCCCGCATTTCTATAGCACCTTTCAGAGTCAGAGGACTCCAAAGCGCTTTACACTACAGTGCATCATTCATCCATTCTATAACTGTAAAAACATGTCAGATCAGGGTTTCCCCCAGCGCTTTATAAGCCTGGCCACCCGCCAGGCTAAACGCCATGCCCCACCCCCCTCCCCTCCCCGACCCTACCGTGTCCGCTGACACGAATGGTGCAGCTGATACTGGTGAGAAACAGCAGAGGAACGTGTGCAACCCCCTGATTCATTTCTGAATCCTTTTTTTTGTGTAGAATGATGCACAAAATATTTAGAAATGACCTTTGACCCTTCCCAGATTGATGGGCAGCAGCTGCATCTATAAGGTTACAGTTGGTGTTGTTACTCATTGTGTTAACACACGCCTGTATGCTGCAGAACAGCAAACTGATCAATCATGTGCTTTTAAAAAGGAGCTGAATCAGCCAATCTTGGTTGATCCTGAACTTATTCAAATCCTGCAGAAGCAGCAGCTTTTCACTCAAATTCATTTGATTTTGCTCAAGTACAGAAATCCTTAGAAGCCTAACCTCTAAGAGAGCTGAGCCGGAAGGCAAAGCTCTCGATTTACCGGTCGATCTACGTTCCTACCCTCACCTATGGTCACGAGTTATGGGTAGTGACCGAAAGAACGAGATTGTGGATACAAGCGGCTGAAATTAGTTTTCTCCACAGGGCGGCTGGGGTCCCTTAGAAATAGGGTAAGAAGCTCGGTCATTTGGGAGGGGCTCGGAGTAGACCCGCTGCGCCTCTACATCGAGAGGAGCCAGTTGATGTGGCTAGGGCATCTGGTTAGGACGCCTCCCTGGTGAGGTTTTCCGGGCACGTCCAACTGGGAGGAGACCTAAAGAAAGACCCGGGACACGCTGGAGGGACGGTCTCATGGCCGGCCAAGGAACACCATGGGATTCCCCTGGAGGAGCTGGCCCAAGTGGCTGGGAGAGGGAAGCCTGGGCCTCCCTGCTTAGGCTACTGCCTGCGTGACCTGACCCCGGATAAGCGGCCGAAAACAGATGGATGGATGGAATTAGAAAACACACTTTTTATGAAAAACCTGTAATTTGAACAGCAAAAGAAAACTGATGTCAATTGGAAACATAAAAAAAGAAACAGCTGAGATGCAGCATTCTAATGCAAGACAGCTCTGTTCTCACAGGTGTTTCTTTCTAATTTGGTCAGCAGATTCTGGACACCCGGCTGAGTTTTAAAACTCCTCAGTGACCCTGTGAAACCTGGACTCAGCTGTCATTGTCCCAACCTGCTGCTCACCGATTATGCGAACACTCTGACTTTTTATTGGGTCTGAAAAGTTTGCTGCTGACTCATTTCCCCTGCCTGACCCCTCACTACCAGGTGTGTCCTGTCCTCGGCTGTCCACCTGGATGACACTCGGCAGAACCTCAAAGTCACTTTGTGTTTAAGGGACAAGCTCTGACCCAAAACTAAGAAGTGATTCAGGAGCAACAAAGAAGCTCGAAGTACAAATAAAAGTTACTCTGAGTGGACGTGGATAGCTAAAGGACCATTTATGCTAAACCAGGGGGGCTGCCAGAGATTTTGGGCCCCATGAAAAAATATCAAGTTGGGCCCCCTGGCGTCTCTTCCATGGGGGCGCTGGGGCTCCGCCCTCTCAGATGCGAAAGGAGAAAATTTTAGAAAAAAATAATATATACATATATACTTTATATTAGTGTTTCAGTTTTGCATGTCTACATGCATTCTTACTTATTTACACATCATTTTCACCAGCTGTCTCTCATTAAACAGTGAATTTCCTTCAACAGAATTAGCAATATCACTCCTGGGTGCTGGAAAAAGAAAAGGGAACATGCAGCACAGACTCCTAAAGGATATCAGCTGTAGTTCTCCATCAGCAACACTAGATTTCATATTTTATTGTGTTCAGTGTTATCATATTACGTTTATTTACTACAATTATCAAGGTATTTCATTTCATTTTTGCTCTCTGATGAATTATTTGCAAACCACTGTGATGTTTGGTTTGTGTTCAAAAAGCTACATAAACAAATCACACCTTGTAAAACCTCCCATAATTCAGTCAGCTTCAAAACATCATTTCAAGGTATTTAGTAGAAGTTTTTATATTTTTCTTGTGTGGTGCCTTCAAAAAGGCGCTTCACAGTAATGGTAATCTCACAGTAATTTCTGTATTATCAGACTAAATAACAATTCAACCTGCCCAGCATCCAAAACAATCTATACATTTTTACTGACTGACTTGAATAATTATCAGTATGTGGAAAAACAATGTGTTTATCACCAAAAATTGCCTTTTACTATTCAATCAATCAGTCAACTTTTATTTATATAGCACGCTATCCTAAAATGCATGCAACTCAAAGTGCTTAATAAATTAAAAAGGCCCCACATTCGCTCCCATCCCCAGAACTTTAAAAACAGTCTAACAGTAAAAACCCCTTCACAACACTCATCCTCAGGCACACACACACACACACACACACACACACACACACACACACACACACACACACACACACACACACACACACACACACACACACACACACACACACACACACACACACACATGCCCCCTTCCGCATGGTAGCATGATTGACTGAGATCAGATGAGCCAGACCAGCTAAGATAAGGATAGGGAAACACCATCAGGGGAGCCATCCACCCTGGCAGCAGCAGATCCACAGCAGCAGCCGAGGCACTGACACAGGGCGCCCAGGGCAGGGAGGGCAGAGACCCCCACCTCCACCTAGACACACCTGGAAAGCACCCAGGCCACCACAGCCGACCACCGCCGGGGCAGAGGGCTCCCACAGAGGAAGCGCTGGAAAAAAGGTTAAATCAAGGTTGAAAAATAAAATCAAAAGAGCTAAAATGATAATTGTAGTATAAAAAGCTATATAGATTTTAAAATAATGTTCATCATAAATCATGGTAAAAAAAATGTTTAAAAAGCACGTATTCCTTTGTAACGTTACTGATAGAGAAAAGAGACGTGATTCCCACAGACTCCCTATGCTGCTAGCTAACATGCTACATTGCTCACCTTTTTAAGGTTCATTGAGTTGAGGAGAGGAGACACCTGCTGACATATCATCAGCTGCTGATTCTGGTAGGGACAAGGACAACAACCCATTTACCATAATTAGTTGAAACATGGTTCCTCTCAAAGCTAGCAAACAGGTTGAATTTAACCACTCACTAACTAAACCCACCTTTGAGGAAAAACTGTGACATAATGACGCCCTCTCTTCCCCCTGTCCTCTTTCTCCTTTCTTTCTCTCCTTTTCTGAGACCCAGACTTTGGGTTTCCAGACATTATCGCTGCAGCCTTTCAGCTGCCTGACTGGACGGCTGGACTGGACCTGACGGGAGGCGGGAACTCGAGCCCGGCCTGCAACACAACTCAAAGCGCCACTCGCCGGGGTGGGGACTGTACCATTTTTTGCCGATACGAGGGGGGTTCAAATGAATTTGTCAAAATAAAGTAGAGACCTCTGAATAAATATATACTTCGTTAAGACAAAAATATTGTTTGTTTCAAGTTTTAAATTAGAAAAAATACTGCAAAGTAAAGAACTTATGATTTGCATTTTTTTATTCAAGTTTGAAACTTCTAGGGGCCCCCTGACAGCCGTGGGCTCGTCCTAGCCCCCCCCCCCCGCCCTAAACCGTAGTGACGGGAACCGGCTAGAACAGGAAATGAACACGTCAACGGTTTTCTACAAAAAATATAAGTTTTTGCTTGCATGCAGTTGATCTACAAGCTGCTCCACATGAACTTTGTTCCTTAAAATTTATTTTGGCATTTGAGTAAGAAAAGCCTAATTAATACATTATTATTATGTTTATGCATTTAGCAGACACTTTTCCAGATTATATACTCACACAGGTATAGTGAGCACATGATTATTCCACACAGAAAAGTCACAGCATTTGAACCTGCAACCTTCTCGCTGTGAGGCAACAAGGCAACCAGCTGCTTCATTTCACTCTGAATCTATGTGCAACAGAAAAAAACTGGAAGTAAACTTCACCAAAATGTCTAAAAGCAAAAAATAATGGGCACAGAATAGAAAAATAATTTTCTTTTATAAAATAACAGAAAACTAATAAAATATTGTTAACTAAACCAATATCAGAGACCAAGGGCGTCAGTTTGTTTTCAGAATTGCTGGGGACAATAACCATACACTTGAGTGGGGTTTAAAAATCGCTGGGGACAATAAAGTAGGCTAGCACAGGGGTCGGCAATCCGCGGCTCTGGAGCCGCATGCGGTTCTTCCATCCATCTGACATCTGTGCTTGTAAAATAATGAATGGATATTTAAATAAAATGCTTTATATTTTACTGCATTAATTTTACATCTGTATGCCAATTCTAAATGTAAAGATTGTCTGCGTAAACCTGAACAGGTCCAACCCGGTCTTACTGTGAGACCGGGTTGACGCGTCACGCTTGTGCGTAATCATAGGCGCTTTATGAGCTGAAGAGGATGTGAGATTCTGGGATTCTCCTCAGACGGCTCCTGGATGTGTCGCCACATTGGAGACAGGAACAAGCGCTATTCAGCCAAAGTTTCATAATCAGGGAACATTTTCTAAGTGACAAGTCTCTCTGAGAGACGGGGTTTGGAAAACACTCGCTTCAGTGGGAGGAACCTTCCCACATGCGCTCTGGTTCTCTGGGTGGCTCTGGGGTTAATCAAGTTTAATTGTTTCTCTTTGCAACAATCTTCACAAGAAGGCAAAACAGTTAAACGGCAGGTTTCAGATATTTCCATTTGACTGTTTATTTTGACAGATGAACTCAAGGATGTTGCTTGGTTTGAAAGAATTACCCCGACGCACACTGATGCACATGGATGTAATCGTTACACACACCGCGGAGGTAAATTATTCCCATCAACATCAGAGCTTTATACTGGACTGTTCAGCGCGGCTCGGAGCGCACGGTGGACAGTGAGCTGAAGATCTGGGGTTCGCAGCGCAGTGCAGAACCGGCGCATATGCGATAAGATTTCCTCCCACTGCAACAGTCTGGAAACCCGGTCTCTCTGAGGGATGTGTCACTTGGAAAAATGTTCTTTTTATGAAATTATGAACGTTTGGCTGAACAGCGCTTGTTCCCGTCTCTAATATGGAGACGCATGACGCGTAGAGACATTTGATCACGCACAAAGTTTATGTGGAGCAGAAGCGGTCGGGCCACGGCAGGTGAAACGTTCCTAGCCTACATGAAGGGAAACTGTTTAATTGTAACATTAATGTGTTACTGGGTACGCTGGTCTGGTTGGTTAGACCAGTGTTTGAAGTGGAAAACACACACACACACACCAATTAAAATAATGCTGATAGCGTGGACTAGAAGACAGGTGATGGTTTACGTATTTAAATGATGATCAGGCTGCTGTAAAATGTAATCTCCATCCACATCCAGACACAATTATCCTCTATTCTTTCTCTAGTTGCTCTGCTCTTGTCTGGGCTGATCAGCTGATGGTGCGCGGCGCGCCTAACTAGCGGCTGATGCACATTTTACGCATTTGGAGAGGTGGGCTGCAGCTTTGCGTTTACTGGAAGATGGTCCACTTAACGCACGGGTGTAGACTACATATTAATGACAAATGAATGAAAATTAAATTGTGAGTTTTTACTTCATATTTTATAAATAAAAAGGACGGGGGAAAACATTTATGACGTCTTTTTAAACTAAATTTTCTAGCGCGACCTGCCTGCTTCACTTAAGTCACTGCTTATTAAGGTCCGTCCAAAATTACCGTGGGAAACGGGTAATAATGGCTCTTTGATGGGAATAGGTTGCCGACCCCTGGTATAAGATCTGAGCTGGTAAAACAAAAATCCTCATCAGCAGGCGTTTTTGAAAGTGGGGGGGACACAGCTGCCAATCACAAATTTTGCCGGGGACATGTCCCCGGCGTCCCCGGTTAAAATGACGCCTATGTCAGAGACCCATAAGTAGTTTTATTTACTGGTAATAAAGTTTACCATAAAACAGGGCTTGTTGCTACGGTGGTTAGCGTTGTTGCGTTGCAGCAAGAAGTTCAAATCCTGGCCTGGGGTCTGTCTCCCTGTGCACGTGTGGGTTTCCTCCCGCAGTCCAAAATCATGACTTGGGTTGTCCTATGGTGTGTGTGTGTGGTTGTTTGTTTGTTTGTTTGTTCTGTGTGTCTCTTTGTTGCCTTGCGATGGACTGGCAACCTGTCCAGGACGTACCCCGCCTGTTTACCCGAAGACTGCAGGAGATGGGCACCAGACCCCCACGACCCTGCGTGGTTAAGCAGATACAGAAAACGGATGGATAAGCCATAAAACCCACGCTCAGGTCTCCAACCGCCGCTCATCATCTCCAAACTGAAAAATCAGTCAAACCCAGCTGATTCCTAACAAAACCAGAGTTTTTACTGTTTAAACCTGTTTCCAGGTGAGAGTATTAACCACACAGATGGAATAAACACACAGAGTTTTCTGTGTGAGGTCGGGATTATCATCTTTAACAGTGTTTGTTTTGTCAGATTCAGAAAAACAAAAAGAGACAAAATACTTTTGCTTCATTAACGATTTCCTGATCCCAGAAATAACCAGAGTTGTTCTGTATGAACGATAAAGTATCAACTATAACAAATCCAATTAATCCAATTTAATAAATACGTGTCTGACCATTGCTTTTGGACTTTGAGACTGGGTCGGATTTAGATTAGCTTCAGCAGAGTAAAATCTGAGCTAGATAATCATAATTGTAAAGCATCGCATTAAGTCCACACTGCAGCAGAGACAGAAATAAAAGATGCATTTGCTTCTGCTGAGGACGCAGCCTCTGCCCGGCTCTTATCTTTTATCTTTTTGTCTACTGCTTTCTCTGCAGATTCTATGAAAAGCTCAGTAATTGCCCCTGATGTTAAAGCAGATCTCGGATTTTTTTAAAGGAGATGAATGTGGCTCGCATCATTTGTTGTTTTACTTTGACCCATAATAAATAGGTATTTACTGATCATCTGTGTCAGGATTATAGCCTGTAATTTAACAGCAGTCGGGAATACTTTATTGTTTCTCATGCATCACCCCTTGTGAGTACAGCTGAAAAACAAATGATATGATTTAAAAAAGTCTGAGAGGTTTGGTATCCGTTTAGGTCTATTGCCTCTACTGCACACTGGAAGAGTCAGCAGCTCGGAACGGCAGCGGAAAGGTTTACTCACTTAACTCGTGAAATCACAAAATCCCTCAAGTTTTGCCATCTGCCATTAAATCCAAAGGAAGGAAATCACATTTGAAATTGCTGTTTGATGTCATATATGACGCTGTTCCTCTCCACTGCCAGTAGTAAAGCCATCAAAAACACACCGCTGCACTTCTGGAATGATGCAGGGAGTAAACAAGCTGTTAGCTTACTTGTATTGACGTAATCTACATAGATATGAAATTGCAATGCTGCAAAAGAATTTTATTTTGAAAGTTGCAGGGGATTTTACACTGAAAGCTTATGTGATTTCCTGTCTAGCCCTATGCTAACTGCGGGAATTGTTGCCTCCCAGAAGCGGCTCGCAGCAAAAATAGAACCCGATCCTATCTCTAGCGATGCTGTGTGCCGCTTCTGGAACGCTCCTGAAAATTGCCACGTTGCGGCTGGTTTGAATCACCCCCATAGACTCTAATGGATTCTATTTGAAGCAGCGCCGTTCCGCGCCGCTGATACTTTCATTGTGCAGTAGGCTTGAGGTTCTTTTTATCCTAAAAATCAGCAAAAATGTTGAGTAACTTTCATTATTTCTGAAAGAGGACAAACTAATTTAATAGAAATTAGGGATGTATGACTGCACTTAGACACTGGGGGCTGTGGGTATCATGGTCTGGGGAAGGCGTTTAACCCAGGACATGCAGAATCACAACACACTCACGGGTTCAAACAAAATAATAAAGGTTTATTTTTAGAACGAGAACATAAGGCGCACTGGAAATTCCAGTGGAGGTTGGGAGAACGGAGCGCAGCACCTGAGGAGGGGAGAGCAGATAAAGGTCTTAACTGAGGAGGTGCAGAGAACAGACTTACAGGGAATAAGGTAGGTGGAGGTATTGGGAAGGGCAGGTCGAGAGTCGGGGTGGGTCTTAACTGCATGCAAGGTGTTCCCCAGGGTTCAATTTTGGGTCCCCTGTTATTTTCACTTTATGTAAATGACTTGCCTAATGTATGTACAAATGTGGACACAATTATGTATGCTGATGATACGGTAATTTTTACGCAAGCCGAAACTCCAGATGATGCAGTCCATCAGCTTTCACTGGCATTACGTGATTTACGAAAATGGCTGAATGACTCATGCCTGTGCCTTAATTTTAACAAGACCGTATCAATGTTTTTCAGTAAACCTAAAACAACCGTGGCTGCAGGAAAAGTTTGCTTGGGTGCACATGAATTAATTAACGTTGAGGAATTTAAGTATTTGGGAGTGCGATTAGACTCTAAATTAACTTTTAAAAAACATATTAGTAAAGTAGTGAAAACTGTTAATGTTAATATACGGAACTTTATATATATCCGTACGTCATTAACAGACACAGCAGCGATTACATTCCTGCATTCTATGATACTGGCTCATATTGAATATTGTATTACCAGTTGGTCCTATACGAGCTCGGCTGCTATTGGACCAATTGAAGTATGCTACAAAAGAGCACTGAAAATATTAGATAAAAAACCACTCTCGTATCACCTTTGTCAAATTTTAGATAAATACAAGTTTTTAAATTTTACTAATTTTAAATTATTTAAATCTGCCTGTTTAATATATAAAGTTATACATGGTCTGGCGCCACCACCAATGAGTGATTTTATTAAACAAAAGTCTAGCAGTGTTGTCGGGTCTCGACTGACTCGAGCCACTGCTAGAGGTGACTGTGAACTGACATTCAGCCGGACTACCTTTTCACAGACTGCTCTGTCATACCAGGGAGTGACCTTCTGGAACAGTCTTCCACTATCTGTGAGGGAAAGTACCAGTCTAAACATCTTTAAGAGTCGCTTAAAAGAGCGGCTGAGGGACACACAAACATGTGATCATGTCTAATACTTATATTTTTTATTTGTCCGGGAAAAGAGTTGGTACATTATCAAAAGGGAAGCAACTGCTAGTGTAATGGGTGAATGTAATCTCACGACAGTCAGGGCATATGCAGTATCGGGGTTGTGCAATATAATTGATGTGTTTCCGTTATTGCTATCTATGCTGTCCTCTGTGTCCACTTTCCTTGACATTTGTTTGTGATAGTATAATGGGATGACTGTTTTTGTCTCTGTCACATGACTTGTAAATACGATCTCTGTATGTTTCCACTACTTTGTGTCTAACATCAACCTGCCGGAGGGTCTGCAGATGGAAATTAGCCCAAGGCTATAATCTGGCATATTTACATTTATTGAAATGTTCATTAATATGTATTGGCCCTCTTCCTAAAAATAAATAAATAAAATAAATAAATAAACAGACTTACAGGGAATAAGGTAGGTGGAGGTATTGGGAAGGGCAGGTCGAGAGTCGGGGTGTGTCCAGGTGAGTAGGTCCAGGAGAGGGAGCGTGGGGAGAGCAGGTGAGCGAAGCGGAGGGAGGAATGGAGAACACCAGAGAGCTGCGTCCAGAAGGTTTATGTAGCGAAGGTGAGTATTCTGATGAGTAACTGAATCCAGAGAAGTTTTTTCACCACAGATGTTCCAAAATCCTGAGGCAGGCGTGAGCAAAACAAAAATCACAAAAATCAATAAATCCAGAAATCACAAGAGGCACAAAACGCTAAATCACTAGAAGGCAGGAAAACTACAGAGTTGTAGTAATCGTCGAGGTGTGTTCTCCAACTCCTTAAGTAGCCGATACCGCTGATTGCTAATCTGACCCAGCTGGAAGCCTCCCTCTCCTGAAACACAACTCAAAGGTGGAATGTTTGCGACGAGTACTCACCCCGACTCATGACAGTGGGTGCAAGTGGGGTGGTGTCCAAGTCCGTTTCACTGTCTGTGCTATACGACGAAACCTCTGAACTAACGGTCTCTCAAAAAGCCTAAAACTCTTCATTGGATTGTTTCAGATTGTAAAAACATCAAAACGTTAATCTATTAACAAGCGGCAAAGACTTTAGCATAGTTTTCCACCAGCTTATTTCCCAAACTCTTGCTATTCCAGGTTTAGTCTTTTCTACATTAACCATTGTAGTTAACATGTTTTTGGTGTCATTTTCATCTGAAAAGACTAGCAAATCTTTGTATTCAGAGTCAAACAATACGTTTTCTTCAGAGACACATATTTCATCTTCACTCTTCCCAGATTTCTTTCTCGATGCCTCTAATTCAGAGTCACTGTCAAAAATGGACAATTCAGAGAGATTATCTTGATAATCAAACCAAAATGCCTTCTCCTCTTCACAGTAGGGAGAGCTTTCCTCTAATTCAGAGTCACTGTCAGAAATTGACAATTTAGAGAGATTATCTTGAGAACCAAACCAAAATTCCTTCTCCTCTTCACAATAGGGAGAGCTTTCCTCTAATTCAGAGTCACCGTCAGAAATTGACAATTCAGAGAGATTATCTTGAGAACCAAACCAAAATTCCTTCTCTTCTTCACAATAGGGAGAGCTTTCCTCTAATCCAGATTCACCGTCAAAAATTGACAATTCAGAGAGATTATCTTGAGAACCAAACCAAAATTCCTCATCTTCTTCAGAAGATAGCCACATTTTAGGTTCATTCTTTCTAAAATCTTCCAGTGAAGGCATCCAAGATTCAAGATCACTATCATTTGAAAAAGATGAAAATGAATCTTTTTCTAGAGTGAATCCCATCTCATCATCACTTTCCACTGCATCAGACCCTTCTTCAAATTCATTCTCTGTCGAGTTTCTGACTGAATTCACAAACATTTGTCCAGATTTGTCTAAGTCCGTTTCACTGTCTGTGCTATACCCACACGATGAAACCTCTGAACTAACGGTCTCTGAAAGACCTTGTGTACTTTCCAGATTCATATATGAATGAATCATTTCTTCATCTGTATTTTGATGTAATTCAGTTTCATTGTGTTGGTCTTCTGCAGTTTTCAGAACTTCAGATCTTTCACAATTTGTTTCCTCTTGTGAGCCTGGTTGATCAAAAATGGCCAAATCTTGATTAAATTCGGAGTTTTTCGTCTGTTTGGTTAAATATCCAACGGTTTTTCTAACAGCTTTGGTAACTAAAGTCCCAAAAACGAGACCGGCCACCACCACGGATGTCTGTCGTAACATGCTTCTGAACTCTGAGAGGTCTGAGCTGGAACTGGCTTTATGAGGTGGCTGATCACGTGATCTAATAAAAGACACGCTGGCAGGACGCAGACGCTTCTGCCTGCGCGTCTCCAAATTTCGACCGGAAGTCCACCAATACACAGTCCATATATGGTATGTTCTACAGACGTTATAATTACTGTCTAAATCACTACAAATGTCTCAAAAAGCTACAACAAGTGATCAAAATTGAAGTGTTTACCTTGTAGCTTTAGCCTAGTGAAGAAACTTCCTGGTTGTGACTGTTCTTTTGTGGTTTGTGCGAGGCGAGGATGTCCGAACAGCGACCCCTACTGTTCAAATATAGAACTGAGCGAGGTGCCGCTAATGTGCATGTTTACTTCATCACTTTCCCCCTAAAACAAATATCGGAGTGAACAAACAACGCGTTTGTAACGATACAGATGACATATGGGATTTATTAACCTAGTAAATAATCATTTTCATTACTTCCTTTCTGCTGCTTGTTGTGATTTGCACATTTTTCATTACACTTCTAGTTTGCAGTTTCCTTTACTTCTAAGGACGCTGCCATCTTTTAAATCCACACAGTATTTTTATATTGTCATTTTGTATTCCTTAAAATAAGCAGAATTTTAGCATTTTATGATCATTCTATTCCGTTTTATGTTTCTTGTTGTAAAAATGTGTTTATTGCTTTTTTGTCACCTGTGGTCTCTGATTTTCTCTGTAGGGCTGCAGGTGTCCAGGGTCAGGAGAGGCTTTACCTGGTGGTCATCCTGGGAGAGAGGCCTTCTACTGTCATCATGTTAATGTTATTTAGCTGTTTGATATTTGAACACATTTATTAAAACAAATACTAACTGATAACTCTTTCTGGTCATTGATTTTATCCCCAGTTTTATTATTACAGATGTTTTTTGAGCATGTTACATGAACAGAAAATGAAAAGATGGTAAGGAGGCAAGATTATTTATAACACGTTACACTTATTTACAGATCAAAACCAGTATGGACCAGTTATGTGCGGTTAAAGCAGGATTAACCTGAGTGACTCTTCCTGGATCATTTATTTAAACTGAGTGAGCAGGAAGTCTTTAACAGTGCAGCTGGATCTGCTGCAGGAGGATCCAGACGCGGATGGAGGGCTGAAGAAGACCCGTGGCTGGATGTTTCTGGCCAGAGGAACATCATACAGGACGGTCTGCAGAGAGAGCTTTGGGACGCTTCCTCTCACTGTCCACTCCATCGTCCATCTACAGGGACTGCTGGGCTGGCTCAGACCACGGCTGTTACATCTCTGTGAATGACTTGCCTGTTAACAGTAGTGATGGTTTGCTGGTACCTCCTTCAGGACAGAGCACCACTGACCTCCTCCACACGTCTTCCTCAGGCTCATCCTCCAGAACCACAACTTCAGCACCGATGCAGATGTGCAGCACAGTGCATGCTGACCTGTAATAGATTAAATAAGAGACATAGTTTCCTAACTTATTTTCAGTGAACACAAATCTGATCGCAGCGTGTTTCATTGAAAAAAAAACAGAAGTTCTGGCTTCTAGCTTGACTTCATTCCTTGTCCTCTGTGTTCAGCACGAGTTTTCATCAAAACTATTCAGAGAAAGTCAGGATGAAAGCTAACTCTGGATGAAACCCAGAAGCGTCGTGATGGGTAGTTGACTCAAAATTGAAAATTTAGAAAAGATTTTTAAAAATTTGTTTAAATAAAAAATGTATAATTTTTGTTTTCACTGAGATTAAATTGCGATTTAATCTACTAATGCAAAGTCGAGCAAATTTAAGCATTTTAAGGCTAAAGTCTTGAATCAACAGGCTAATTTTCACAAATCATAAATTTCTAAATGCCATTGTGTAAAAACCACTAAAGATCCCAGAACACCAGTTCAGTCTTGGAAAGTCCAACTTCCTGTTACCTGTTTAATGTTAAAAAAATCATTATCATTAGAATTATTGATGCTGGTCGCTTCCAGAATTAGAACAATCAGGTGCTTTAGTAACGTTTTCTTATTAAGCTCCAGAATTTACAGCTAAGGCTTCGTGTGAGAAAGCACTTCTCTTTTATTCACACTATGTCAGGGGTCCTTTTGATTTTTTTGTCCTTTTTTTCTCACATGGATTTTTTAAAAGTGTTTCATGGTCCTTTCGTCATCATGGTGGCTTTAGCGGGGCTGGTTTTGTCGACAGCGACGGAGCAGAAAGGTCACGGCTGCGACACCCAACAGAAACTCAGTGTGTGGGAGCGGTGCTCTCACGCATTTTCACTCTGCTGGCCTCTCCTGACACAATGACAACACAGCGTCGTAGTCACGGCCACAGAAATGTCAGCCTGCTGAGGAAGAGTCTGTGTGAGAATGTATGAAGTGGTGCTGACAGACGCTTCAGAGAATTCACCGACACTGATGACAGCATGAAGAAACATCACAGAAAAGGCACACGTAAAAATGCGATGCCTTACATTTTGTTTTTCTGCTATGAAATTTGAGATTTTTACACATGGATGTCTTTGGAATGAGTGTGATGAAATGACTGGATTCATTTTCGTTAATGACTGGTACATTTTGTGGTCATTTGGAAAGTTACTAATCCATCTTGGAAAAGGCCATCGGGTGTAAAAGTTGTCGTGGGACTTTCCAGTATCTGGTACTCTGCATCTCATGAATCCTTCTAGGACTTTTGTCTCTCCAGCTTTGATAGTTTCATAATCTGTTCCAGTCCATTTGACCTCACCCAAGTTTGAATAAGTTGTTTTTTTTTCTTTTCTGGCTGCCAAGGTTTTGATAATGACTTTGTACCCATAAGGTAAAGAGTACCTCACATTGGGCTCTATGACCAGTCTGGTCATACCATCGACATATATACTGGACAATTTGTTTCCATAGGCTCCAATTATAAGTTTTTAGCCAAAATGGAAGGCTCCCACCACCGCCATTTTGACCGTGTCACAGGTTCCGTCAAGCCCAGACAATTCCATAAAAGGGAAAAGAGGTGGAGCTGAGGCTGGGATCAAATGACGACACCGGTCGAACTGAAGCAATGTAGCTACAAGCTAACGCAGAGGTGGGAGCTAAGCTAACGGAGGTAGCTATGTACCTACAACCAGAGTTAACTGTGCACAACACCGGAGCTGTTGAGTCAGAGATACGCCGGGCTGACCGCTGGGTAAAACCGGGTGGAACACAGAGGTCTCCCGAGAGCTCCACAAGCCGGCAGCCGTGCAGCAGACAGGCGCCGCTGCGATCAGAGATGTGCAGAGCTGCCGTTGGGGAGAACCGGGTGGAAAACATCGGTTTCCATCCGAGAGCTCCACAAGCCGGCAGCCGCGCAGCAGACAGGCGTCGCGATCAGAGATGCACCAAGCTGCAGCTGAAGGGAAGGAGTTTATACCGATAGTCAGAACCCAGCTCCAACATGACCGACATGTCATATTTCAACCTATTTTCAAAAATGCAGCGTTATGTTATGTCAATTTCAATTCATGAATAGTTTATATAAAATTGCAATGCGGCAATGCAGTTTGAAACTATATACCAAAAAAAGGTAGTAGGAACTAAATATTTATTTTATTTAGAACTTTTTTCCAAGCAAGACGTGTTGGGCATGTTAACATCTGCCAGTAAAATAATTCAACATAGCAGCAGCCAACTTCAACAGAGTAACCCCCCAGACTTCTCCTGAACCATCGTTTACGTGTACGATGTTTCCAAGTACTATTCCTTGTTCTGTAGAGCAGGCAATAGAACGCACTTAACCATAATAGTAATGGCCTGTCTTCTTATTGGATATAAAAAAGTAACAAATTGAATGCTTCTGAGGTTTAAAGAGCATTGTGCAGTGCAACGTACTTTATGTAAACTTCAATGTTTTAAAGTGCAGCAACAACTTCAGCCTCAATATAGTAATAATAATACAAAATCTAACAAGTGAAATAACAACTCTTAAAGTCTGAAGGGTAGCAAAAATACAGGCCTACTGGCCTTGCCCCTAAAATAAATGTTGGTTACAAAATATCACACACTGAGCCTTTCAAGTTTAAAGTGTAGCTGCAAAACGATTGCAATATTTAAGAGGCAAACAAAAGCACTTCAAGTAGAACGGATATGAAATCTGAGGCTTCTACATGTTGAGTGCTAGGAACACGAGCTTGTCAACTCTTGCTGGTTTCAGTGCTGACCTCTGGCATGACACAATGTTCCCACTTGCACTGAAAGCCCGCTCTGATGGGGAACTTGTGGCAGGAATGCATAAATATTTCCTCGCTAGCTTGGCCACTAGGGGAAAATGTGCCTCATTTCTCTTCCACCATTCCAGTGGTTCTGTGTCTGGACCAGCTTCCAGTAGGAGATAGAGGCTTAGCTCCTTTTCAATAGACTCTCTGGTTGAACGTGGGGCCACTTGGCTTGGCTTTGCTGATGGTTTAAAGTACCTGCTCAAACTCTTATTTTTCTTCTTAGCAGGAACCTCCTCTGGCTCATCCTGACCTTTGGCAGTGTCTGATGGAGCTGATTGAGGGACTGCCTCTGTTTGTTCGGCCACCATCTTCTGTAGCTCTACAGCAGCTCTTGTTTTGATGTCATCCACCCTCTTCTTTGATGTATGTGGTTTTGAATCGAGGGTCCACAAGAGACACAATGTCAAGCAGGTCCTGGGTTGTCTGGTCATCATACTTTTCATTTAAGTATTTTAGTATGCCCTCTTTTATAGACGTGGTGAGCTCAGTGTCGCCATCCTGATGCTGGAGAATCTGGTTGTTGAACAGATGGAGGACGAGTTTCAAGGAGGAAACACTTGGGCGAAGCTCTCTAGACAAGGCATCTGTAAACTCCTTGAGAGGAGTCAGCGCCTTGTTCACAGACTCCAGAACCTCCATATCCTGCCAAGATGGCACCAGGTGACGTGTTGTCTTGTCAGCTCGGAGGACTTGTGAGAGAGCTTTCTCCTGCTCGATCACCCTTTCAACCATTGCTTGCACTGAGCCCCACCTTGTAGGGGTTTCTGTGATCAGCTGATGAGGTGGCATGGGTGGATTTTGATCTGCTTGAGCCTTGGCCAGTTCCCCTCTTCTCTTCCATGAATTGGAGAAGGCAGCCACGATCTTCTTGCAGACACCGACTGCTCGTCCCACCTCCTTTAGTTTCACACTCCTCTCTGTGTATATAAAGGAAAAGAAAACATAAGATTATGTACTTTTTATATATTACACTGTGTACAGGACTAGTAAAATGTATTAATTACATTCTTTTAATCAATGTATATATAAATTAGATTACCGTATACATTTTAGTATATGACTTCTGTATCTCATAATGCAGATTTTCATTTCACAATTACAGTTTTTTAAACTGTACAATTCTATCTCCTGATTGACATTTTTATCCCAGAACTTTGATTTTATCTCAGCCTAAAAGTCATAATGATATGATCGACCAAACAGAGATTAAATACTGTAGTATTTAATCATATAATTATGAGTTTTAGGCTGTATGTCAAGTCTAACTAAACATTTTTTTTATCTCTGTAAAATTTAAAAATCTAAACACATGTTGGAGTAATTAAACCATATTGATACGGGAGCAGACGCTGGCGCGCATGGCTGCCGCTGCTCACCGGACCCTTTGATCGTACTGGCTCCTAGATGTTTTGAGTCCTCAATAAAGCTTCTGTGTCAGGACCGACCCTACGACTCTACCACCTGTACTATCTGGCTTTTAACATTGACTTTACAACCTTTTCACGTTGTATCTCGGCCGCCTGCTCTGCCACCCACACCCGGGGACCCTGGAGACAGTGATCCGTCTACCTGCTGCACACCCAGACTCCAACCGTCTGCCGGATCGAGCCAACCGTTATGTGGGCAATCAAGATCGCCGCTCTGTATGTCCTCCTCTTTGCCCTCCTTCCTGACTGTTTTTGTCCGGTGGCTGGCATGTATCAATACGTGGCCGCTGAGTTCTTCCAACTCCGGTCCTCCCATGCCTCCACCTCCTGGATTGCTTCGGTGCCCCGACATTGTCCTCCCTCCCCGGCGGAGATACATGCATGGGGGCACCCGCAGAAGTCACAACCTCAATGATCATAATCCTCCTCACTCGTTCTGGTCTGCAACCCATCGCCCTCCAAGGAGGCCTCCCCGCCGCGTCGACCACTCTGCGTTAGCATACCCAGTTAGGACGGCTGTGCTCCAGCTGGCCTGCAGCCCTCCTCCGTCGCCAACTTTGGCCTGCTCAATATCTGCTCCCTGATGAACAAAAGCCATCATATCCACGATCTCCTCTCCTTCCTGTTTCCTCACCAGGTTGTTCGGGCAAATCTTTCCCCAGGGGTCCGAGCACCATTTAAAGGTTCCGGTTGAGGCCAGTAGGAGAGGGTGGGGGAAATATTCTAATGGGGTTTCTCTTATGGGTGTTTTTAATCTGGTGTTTAGAAGCAAATTAGGATTTTTATATTTATATTTTGGTATGTCTAGGTAATGGGTTATGAAAATAATTGTATTTAAATAAAGTTGAGAAGTACTTGGTGAGGGTAGCAGTGGAGCTCCCCTGGTGAGCTGGGGTAGTTGGTTTAGCCCTATTAGCAGCAGGGGTACATAGGGCTGCATGTTTTCATGCTCATGTTGATTGTTGCTGCCTGTACCAACAACTAGTGGAAAATAAACCACTCTGCGTGAGCCTCAGTGTCATTGCTCCTGAAATCCAGCCGTTTAAGGCCGTCTATATGACAACCAGTTTGGATTTAAACCAAAACACAGCATGGATCTATGCATATTTGCTTTAAAAGAAATAATCAGAAAGTTTAAAAGAGGTAACCCCTCTGTGCTACGATGCTTTATTGACGAGTCTAAAGCAGGGGTAGGGAACCGATGGCTCGTGAGCCATATGTGGCTCTTTTGATGAATGCATATGGCTCTCAGATAATTCACAGAAACCACAGTGTTAAATATAAAAAACATTCTCGTGCATTTTAACATCCATCCATTTTCTACCGCACCCGTTTAAGCAACACATTCTCACTCCCAACGCGTCAAAAAAAAAAATGCTTGGTCAGCCACCCTCCGCGTCAAACCCCTGACGCCAAAAGTTCCCTTTTTCGTCACTTATGTACGAAAAGGGGTTTTTCTCCTTTCTGACTGCAGATCCTGATGCAGCGTAAAACTGATGTGATGGGATGTCCGCTCCTGCGGCACCGAACCAGCTAATTTAACCGCACCTAAACCTTAACGTTTTGCTATTTATAACCTTCCCCTCACCCTCATGCTAACCTTAACCATCTTGCTACCTAAAACCAGGCGCGCAGATAGGGTGGGGGACGGGGGGGATCTGTCCCCCCCCCCCAGATTCAGATCAACCCCGATCCGTCCCCCCAACTAAGGCCAGAAAGAAAACAAAATCGGAGGTTAAGCGCTTGAAGCTCCTTTTTCCAATTATACTGAATGCAGCATGACGTAAACAAACACCGACTCCAGAGCCGCCAAAGTGGTTGCTGCTAGGATGCAGGATGAAGCGAAAAAGGCAAGTAACGATTACAGTAATCCCTCGTTTATCGCGGTAGATGCGTTCCAGACCTGGCCGCGATAGGTGAAAATCCGCGAAGTAGGGACTCCCAGCATGCCCCTCGCGGGGATTCCCTCCACGTCGCACCTACGTCACAAACCGCGGCTATAAACGGAAGTCGCCTTTCCAGCTCACCACTCAGTCATCGTTTCTTCAGATTCATGATCAGAGTTTCCAACCTACCAATCAATCCAACGAACTATCAGCTCATAGTAATTTATCTTACTTACTTCTGGAAAGCCCGACATTTCCGTGTCACTTCGTTGACGCTCGAACGCTCGGGGGTTTCCTAGATCAGCCGGCGTTTCACCGACGCTATCACTTCCGCGTCTGTGAAACCACGCTCCCTATTGAATTATCGTATGATCACATTCTGTTTTTGTGGGTAAAACTCAAGAAATTTTTTTTCACTTGTTTTTTTTTTGTTTTATTACAAAAAGTGCATTTTATGATGAAATTGATGAACAAAACAAGAATTTCTTGATATTTCGCATAGAAAAATACCGCAAATCAGTGAAAAATACCGCAAATCTGCGGATTCCCCCTGAAAAATGCTCCAAAGAAAAAATCCGCGAAGCAGCGAATCCGCGATGAACGAACCGCGAAGTAGCGAGGGATTACTGTACTGCGTATTTAAAGAGCAAGTCAACCCCTACCAGAGTCTAACTCCACTCTCACTTCATGTTTGAAAAATGCAACAAATGCTGTTGGCTGGCAGACCGAGACGGCGGAGCTGCTAACAAATACACACACACAGGCTCACGACAGCATTGTGACATCATAATGTACCAGTTTACATCATAGCATACATCTTAGCCAATAGCGGTGGCATATTTAAATTAGAATACAGTGCAGAGTTTTTACCTGACAACGGCACAACACTGCCAGTTTTAGGCAGAATATTTAAATTTGAACTAAGATGCACTGAAGTGCCAAATTATTGACTACACGTGTCTGCAGCACGATTAGACACTCGTTTATTTAGTTTATCAGCAAAAAAAAAGTTTATTTGGGGGTGACTTGCTCTTTAAAAAAGACCAACAAAGTAAGTAGGCAGGACCGATCTGTCTGTTTATGCATGTTGGTTCTAGTTTCAGTACATTGTTATCAGTGTTGGGACCAGGGCCAGATTAACCCTTCGTTGTACCCTGGGCAACAATATTCAAGGGCCCCATCATCACGACCCAAGGATCACCATAATATGGTCACATACAGAATATTTTTCTGTAATATGCAGTAAATATACTCAATACTTGAATGCCTGACATCACATAACCCGCTCAGGGTAACCTTTGACCCACCTTGTGTGGACTGACCAATGAGGAGAGGGTCTTAACTTGAGACCCTCTCTTCATTGGTCAGTCTGCATGAGTCTGACTCTCAACCACTCTCAGCTGACGTTCAAAGTCATAGGCAGCGAAGGGTCTCTGTGCAGCGCAAAAGCCCGGGTGGACAGTTTGTTTAATATAGGGTGACCATATTTCCATTTCCAAAAAAGAGGACAGGGGATCTGTGCCTATGACGTCACACTATGGCAACGCCACACAAACCACGCTGGGACCCATTTTTTTTAAAGAACTACATTAATATCAGATTCTACCAATAAAAGGGCTCTAAAACAATTCATATGTAAATATTTAGCATATTAATTGCAAAATCTCATTTTTCTGCTTTAATGCTGCAACAAGGTTTTATTAATAATAATTTATTATACCTTTTGTTTTACTGCAGCATCGGTAAGCTTCCAGTGCACAAATTATTAAGGGTGATTGTTTCAGCTGTGAGATTAGACGATAGGATCAATGAAAAAAGAAGTTGTCACACACTCCATGGAAACTTTCAGAGAATCCACAAATAGTGGCTTTCAAATGGTTTTGTTACTTTTTGCAAGTTTAGAAAAGAAGCAGATGAGACAGCATGTCTGATAATTTAGTTTTTCATCTGATAACATTAGAACATGTCAGTAATGTCTGAGGGGCTCTTATAAACACTGTATAACTAACACTACTGGACAGGGTATGGATTACGCAGAGGCTTCTGGGGAACCCAGTTATGGGGGGGTGGGGGGGGGGGGTATTTTGCCTTGGCCCCCAAAATGTCTTGAAACAGCCCTGGCTGTGTGACTGAGTTATGAAGGTGATCTGAACTGTATCAGATGTATAATTATGACATGTGTATAACTTATTGCTTTATACAGGTAAAAACGTGTAGTGGAGATAAATCTACATACATTTTACTTTTTGTTTTGTTTTTATTTAACTATTTCCTGTCCTGTCAGTCTCTCATCTTCCTGCATCTCCTCTAAACTCTCCAGAAAAACTGCTGCCTGGATTCTTACTTTTTCACCTCATCAGTTACTTTTGAGCAGATCAAAGGGATCTCCTGACCGCAAAGTGAAGAGTGCGTTTCGATGCTGCGTGAGGTGACATCACCGCAGCACAGGTGATGAGCTCCGCAGTGGCAGAGCGCTTCAGGCACAAATAAGACAGAAAGTAGAGAACATGTGCGGACATGAACGATCGTGTGCTAATTATAGTTTTTTGGTTGCGCCACATTGAGAATGGACCGTGCGCTGGAAGCAGCAGCCTGGAGCGCTGC